GGAACTAATATTAAGTTTGTTGTCATCACACTGTTTGTGTTTCTTATATGTCGTGCCCCTCACCCCTCATCTGTCTTGTCTATTTACATTGTAAACCCCTTGAACCCCTTGGGCTGGGACCCTCTACTACTCTGTGCTTTTAGAGTGCCCAGAACAATTGAGCAATTTGCTCGGTTGTCCATTAGGCAGATTATTCCTGGTGATGGTTATGGTATTTTGCTGCTGTGGGCTGTATAAGCAGTAAATTGCTAGTCCCTATCCCTGCACTGAGCAGCAAATAGAAGCAGGGAGAATCAAGGCCCCATCCTTTCCCCAGCACTATTTTCCCATTCCCCACTCATCTTCACAGAAGAGAATAGTAAGGTTGATGCACCCCAGTTACTTTTTCTACACCCAGGATCAGGTGTGGGGAACTCCCAGGGGGGTTTACCCCTCTGCAGAGGTGTTAGGGTTGGCACCCTGAGCCAATGGAGATTAACTACTGTTGCGGGGGTGGGGGGGAGAGTGCTGTCAATTGGCAAAGCCAGTAGCTACAGGGTAAACATGACAACCACCACTGATTTCCATAATAAGCAGCCCTGTGGAATCCTTACATTTGACAGTGAGAAAAAGATCTATTGAACAGACAAGAGAGTTAACCCCCTGGCTGCACCAACTTCTCCCTCCAAGCATCTCTTGTGGTAGGAGGAAATGGAGGGGAGAGGTGAGGTTGATGAGAAGACTCCAGCCCCCATTTCCTATGGCCAGAACCTTTATCACCCCTGCCTCTATCAGACAACCCCTCACCTCCCCTCGAACATCCCACTTACTTTGCACCTGCGGCTTTTGCCCCACTAGTCCACCCCTACTGTCTTTGTGCAAACATACTATATGCTGCAGCCTAACTCTCAGTATCTGATTCTATTTCCTTGCACAAAACTATCTTTTATTTTTGAGTCCATTGTTAAAAATGGAACAGAAGCAGCAGGAGCCAAAAGGTAAAGCAGCATTCTCTCTACGCAAAAGTATTCACTATAAATTATTTCTGAAAAAGGCTGCACAAGTTGACTCTTCCCAATTTTTTGCTTGAAAGGCAAAATTGGGTGTTGTACTTTTTTCTTGGAACAAAGAAAAGAGGATTGTAACAACATGTACAGTTCATATATATTTTTCTTTTTTTTTAAAGGTGTTACAAAATGTAATGTTTACTGCTCTGCCTGGCTTTTCAGTACAATGGCAACTACAAATGTTTCAATAACACTGATAATGTGTATATTAACTTCAGCATTTTGATTTCTTCAGTCAGGGAAGATTCCAAACAGGTTTTAGTGAATTTCAGATAATAATAACAATAGCAATGAACTCGGCCTTCGAGTCACATGAACAGCATTTTTCTCAAAGCCGTGTAAAATATCTCAAGTGGCTGTGCCAAAGGTCATGGTATAAACTTAATTCACAGTCTAGTTAGCCATGAACCTGAATGTCCTAACCTTGTGCAAGATCCCCAGCTGTTTAATGAGTAAATAATGGGTTATTACAGTGAGAAATAGAGGATATTGTTTAATTTCTATCAAAATAGTTGTGATATCAAAGGTCAAGAACTGCAGGAAGGAACTAGGTAGATGTCTTCTCCAAGTTTGAGAAGTAACATTCCTTTTAAAAGAAGGTGTACTTCACAAGGGTCATTACATGAATATGTTGTAGCTATTCTGGAAATATCTGGCCCAATGTAATAATACACAGGTTTATAGAACAGATCCCTGAATCATAGAGTCCATTCAAAATCAAACTGCTGCTCACGTCATTTGTAGCCAGATATTTATCTCAGCAATATCAGTTTAAATCCAAGTAACTACCTCAGCTTCAATGGAATTACGCAGGATTTATAATAATGTAGTATACAGCATGATCTGGTCACCTGTTTCTTGCATTGCTAATAGTTTTAATTTCTCATCTCAGTCTTCAGTTTTATTTTTCATCTAAATATTCAGCCACTTGGTTTGTTTCCTCCTCAAAGCCTTATTCAAAGTTGGTTTTTTTATTAATGGAAATATATTTCCAGTTTGTAAAGCAAAAATCATCAGCAAGCACAGATGTTCCCTATTAGTTGAATAAACAGGCATAGCTCTTTGGGGCTTTTCAGTGTATTTATGAACATGCAATGGGTGCATTTGAGAATGAAAGGACAAAGTCTGAGGATATGCATGCACGTGGTTTAGACGGTACCTATCACTGTCAATTACCAGTCCTAATATGGATAAGCTGACTACCAGCTACTGCCAAAAAACACCAGTGTAACAAGTGAGAAAATAGCTTTTGTGCTCTCCTGATCAAAGTTTTCTGTGAAAGTAATTAGGGAAATCTCTGGAATGAAGAGGATAGATAGAATCTGGTATTCTGTAAGCTTTGACATGGATCAGACTATTGAAGAAAAGAGGTCATAAACAACTCTTTTAGCCCTTCTCAGTCTTTATAAAATGCAATTTGGACCAAAATCTAGCCACTTGATAAGCATATGGCAAGGAAACGCAAAAGTAGAGATTAGTAAAGAGTAGGCGCGTTCCACAAAGTGTCTCCTCCAGCACTTTGATCTTCCCAAAAGAAATGCAAAGAAGTAATTCCATAGGCTGTCCTTGGTATCTCTTGCACAGAAGAGATGGATTAGAAGACAAGGGGGTCCAGTCTGCCCACATATATGTTTGTGATATCTGCTCCTACTATACCACCCCCTTGCCCCTCTACTAAAAAAATAATCTGCACACCTGCATAAATCTGCACATTCACACTGCTCCTACAGAATGTAAGAACTCAAATATTTTTTCCCAAAAAAATCTCCATCTCTGTAGACCCATGCTGTTATCACCTGTAATTAAGATTGCTGGATAGGGATATAGCCACAAATGTAAAAGGCAGGGTAGGATCTAGATTGCCTTTTGTTCACTACATGACATCCCTCACTGTCAGAAATGTTCAACTATTTTGTTGTGCTGCCCTTAAAAGAGGGAAGCATTGGATCCATCTCTGGATGCTTCTCTGACAAATCTCTGAGTTGCATTCTGATCCATCTCAATTCTGTCCTCTTTTTTAAGTTCAGCCTTTTTTAAGTGTTCACAAGCATTTAGAGGTAAGTCTACCCTTGGATTGAGATGGGGGGAGTGTTCTGGGAATTCTGACTGGTGAGGCAAGGAGGTTCAAAACACCATCTGTACTGTTCTCTAAGTATCCCTTAATAAATAACATAACAGTAAAGGTAGTTTTGATGTGTTAAATGCCTTCTGTGCCTAACACAACTCACACTTATACCCCTTCTAGTGTGGTCACTGGGTACTGGGTTTCCCTCTAGATACTACAGTTGATCTAAGCCTTCTAAGCAGCCTCAGCCCTTCTTTGTATTTCACAAGTTGTCCACTGCCTCAAGAGGGCTATTGCAGCATCCTGAAACAAATCTACTACCTTTACATCTGGCTTTGTGCTGATGAACTGGTACAAAGCAACCACAGCAGAGTACAACATCTAACCTCACATTCTTAACTCAAATACTTCAGGGTGCAGACAGAAGTGCAGCTCCCCAAAGTAACTCAGAACACTTTTGTAGTTCTGAGTTACAATGATCCCCTGGGCCAAACAGAAGTTCTAGGAGGGAGGGGAAATGAGCTGCTGGGTTTGAGCCCCCAGCTGGTTTACCCTTGCAATGGCCCCTCCTTCCTGCCCAGCCGTGCTGTTTTCAGAATGGGAGAGCAGAGGGAGTTCATTGTAGGGGTTCCCCAGCTCATGCTGGAGGGTGGCATGGGGGAAATAGAGGTCCCCCACCTTGCGGGGAGCTCCAATATACTTGCCCCACCCTCCAGCGGGGCCTGAAAAAACCACACACAGAACTCCCTCCTCTCCCTTTCCCCCCCTCCCATTCTGAAAACAGCTTGAAGGCTGGGAGGCAACGCAGACAGAAGTTACAGAAGACGCTGTTTTGAAACATCTTCATCTGACCCCATATGCAATAAGGGTTCAGATTTTTTCCCTATCAGCCATTTGAAGCAGTCAGCAGCTGTGCACTTGTGTTTGACCATAGCTATAGACCACATCCTGTGGCCAGATTGGGTGAAAATTGTCACTTCTGTCTGCACCCTCATCAGTTACCTCTTAAATTTGTTTCTATTTCACAAGTCCATGTGAATTGTTTTACTTATTTCTTACAACAAATGCTCTAATCCATTGGAGGAGGGAGGGGGGTTGTTTGGGGTTTTTTTAACCACATCTCAATTCCAGCCAGCTGGAGTTCATGAATAACCCTACAACCAGAAGTATCCTAGAGCTTTACGAGGGTGCAAATAAAAATGAAATTCTGTTTTAAGCTTCCATAACTAACAAGGAATAATTTTTTAAACCTATGAAAAGAATGGAAAAACTCTTGACAAGGTAAATTATGAAAAGCACAGAAAATGAATGACCTGCTGCATAAATTCAGTCCTAGGACAACAGGCTGTATATATAATGTACAGCTCAAGTTTTCAAATTGTGTTATGCTTTTGCCCTACTTTCACAGTGGTATTTCACCAAATGCTAAAGAATATCACATATTCTTCAATTTTCAGATATTTAAAGTTTTTATGAACAAAATAATTTATGCTTCTTAAACAAGTCTAACCCAGATTATTATTTACCACAAAAAGGTTTCCTGCAGCTATTTTTCCTCAACTAGAGCTATTAGTCAAGGTGACATAGGGAGTGTTGAAATAGCAAATCTTGTTGGAATGCTAATATTATTAAGACAGAAGTTAATAATTCTGCAAGTTAACTTTATGGCCAATTAATCATGCAATACTATATGTGCTAGAGGCATCTTACTATAGACACAAATATCAATTTACTAGCATTAAAGTACACTCCAGAAACTTTTTGATTTGAATATAAATCAATATAATGCTGAGCTAAAATAGAAGGTCTTTTGAACTACCAGGTATTCGAGCAATGATTTAACATCTTGTGCATTTAAAAGGCATTGTGCAATGCAGTGTCACTCTTACCTCCATGGGAAAAGCTTTAAAATTAACAGTGTGTTCAGAACCACGCTGGTTTTCTCTTCCCCAGTGAAATCGAACATCATATAGTTCAAACTCATGTCCCCGAGGTAATGGCCCACCTACTAACACTGGAAAAGAACAGAAATGGTGACAGACTTAACTTTCCAAGAAAAGAAGCTGCTGAATACATTCTCTACAAACAATGGGGAGATTGTTGAAAACTTCTTTATTATGAGCCATCTGAGAGAAGCAAAGCAATGTTAGCATGCCTGCTACCTTTTCTTCTGCATTATCACCCAGCTGCAGAACCCCAGTTCATTCTCAATTATATACTGCAATGGAAATTGTATTATGCTGAAATCTTGATTTTATGAGGCAGAACAGGTAGTCGTAATGCAAGATAAAAAGCATTGTATGTTTATCACTCCAGAGAGTGAATAGGTTTATAGACTGATAACCAAACAGTAGGTCTCTGTTCTAACCAAATGATGAGGTTTCCTTCTGGTGTAACACTAATAATTGCCTCCCGGTTGTGCAAATACATAGACTATAACACCTATCTTTGTTGTGAGGAAATTTATCAATAAAAATAGGTTAGAAACTCTTAGATGCCAGTGTTTTGTTAGGTCATGATATTTTGTCATAAGCCGCCTATCAGGCTGCAAGATATGCAAGGCCTTATGTTCAAACTAATCAAACCTAAATAGTAGCAACATGCCTCGTTTGTGTACAGAACAGACCACCCACCTTCCAGCATTTTCTTTCTCCTACTTTCTAAAACCCACTTCTGTGAATTTGGGATTATGTCTTAAAAGTAAAACAGAGCTATCCAGCTCCAATTATAATAAATGATAAATTGGATATTTTACCTAAATTCATCTTTTCACGCATAAATAGTGCATAGTTATAGTTAGTTGTACATATTTAAAAACTCTGCCCTGCTTCCTTCTATAGAAGAATTTGATTCAGTGAGTCTTGAAGCTGCTTAGGACCAAATGTTGCATTCTGGCAAATGCATGCATCCCTTCACTAAAGTCAAAATGTTTTGTGGGTTCATACCAGTGGAAGATTTTTGCCTCAAGGTTAGGGTTTCATGCACCTGCTACAAAGCACATTAAAACTCAAGTCTCTGATATCCTGCAATGGACTTTGGATTAGACCCTCCAGGATTCCATTAAATATTTCTCAATTACATTTTATTGGGATTTATGCAATAAGAAAACAGGGTAAATTTGCAGAGACCAAATTAGAGCTACATATATAGCATATGCTTTCATGAGCTAGACCTCAGATGCTGAAAAGGATGTGCACAGGGCACTGTATTTAAACAGAGATTCACAGCTTTAAGTCATTTTTGTGTGTTAACCAGATATGATCTCACCTTCAGTTTAAAGAAGTCATTGTGACAAAATAGTGGTAAAATCCACCAACTACATAGTATTGTCCAGTTTGTCACACAATAGCAACAAAAATTAAAATTAGGACAGGCAATTGTAAAATGTCCAGAAGTAAAACTCATCATTTAAAATATCTGTAATAAGTTAAAGCAGAAGACGAAGTAACCTATCCTGATAAGTATTCCTTCCACACTGATAGAACACAATTTTTAATAAGTATCCTTATGGTGATAAAGGCTATATATACAATTAAAATGAGGCAACACTCTCTTAAAATACATTAAAATGTGCATCTTGAATTCCTAACTACATCCCTAGAGACCCAGTACTAGCTGTCAGCTTTGCATATCTGTTAAACTTTAAGGAAACCAAGGTGTCCAGGATAAAGGAAAATCTGTGCATATTAATATTATTTATTTAGTAAGTGAAATATTTTACTGTGTTTTTTAAATACTGCTATCTTCTGTGTGTGCTTAGAAATGCTCTGTGTAGAAATATTGTTTTGGAAATATATGACCATTACCACATGAATTTGTGAGGCTTAATTCACAACAATCAACATGTAGCAAGAGTATCATCAAAACATGTTTTACTTCTCAGGAAAGTGTGATCCCCATTGGAAAATCTTATTGAAAAAGTCATGATGGAGCCCCTTTGACCTGTACTGCCAGCACATGAGAAACATTTGTTAGTAGAGTATCTCCTAAAATACTTCTCAATATTCCAGTTGTTTAGGAAATATTCTACACCACTGCAAAGTTAATCAAGCCTTCCTAAGCTAAGGCATCATACACAGAGGTCATGACTACACGAAATGCTACTGCACTATAGTAACAAGCTACTGTGCAGCAGCATCAGAAAAACCTGTGCAGGGATGCTACTGTGCAATAACACCGGTTACTGCACACTCATTTAGTACTTGGTTAGGCAAGCACTAAGTGACAGCACAATAATAACTGCACAGTATGCCACTCGTTTAGACACAGCCAGAGTGATCAAACTAGAAGCATTCCTTTAATTTTTAAATATTTTAAAGGCTAAGCCAAATCAAAATTTCATCTGAGATATACATCCTTAATTAAGAATTTAAAAAACTATCATAGATTCATATATGTTAGGGTCGGAAGGGACCTCAATAGATCATCAAGTCCGACCCCCTGCATAAGCAGG